GGGGGGGGGGGGGGGGGGGGGAGCTTCACGGCTCAACACGAGGGGTATATTACTCTAAAAAATGCGTACGAACATTTTTAGATAAAAAAATCCCTGCAATATTTCTTGGGATTCTGGGATTTTTTTGCCAAATTTTCAGGGATTTTGGGATGAATAAAAAAAAGGTCATCAAACTTTAAGATTGCGAATAAGAATAAGATTATGTTAGGGTTAGGGCTCAACATGTGTCGCGAATTTATTGTATTGATAATGTCGGACGTGTTTAATAATTTACTCATATAGTAAATTCGAAGGTGCAGCTCATGTGGAGATTTTCAGAGTAATTTACCCCTATACTTTTCATTTTCATTTGGGTCAACGTAGCACTGTTTGTTTAATTTTTTCGTAATTTTAGCTACATTTGTTAGATTTTTATCAGTGTCAATCAAATGTTTTAGTTTCTTTCCTTCCTATCCAACTGGGATTAGATAATTTGCCCATTACCTGCAGTTGATTGGGGTGTTCCGCACCTCCTACCCCCTTTTAGCGCCGCCCCTGCCTGTGTTGACTTTTATAAGAGGGAATGTCGAGAATGTGACATTCATCATCGTTGCAGGGGATTTGCAACAATCATCGTTGCAGGGGATTTGCAAACAATCGAGTTTTGATTGCAGTGTCGCAATAGCATGTCTTATGGCTTCCAAATCAGCAAGACTCAAGCGAGCTAAGTTAAGCTTTTGTAGTTCACTAATAGTTTTGTTTGAGATGTTAATTGTATTCGTCGCGGAATCAGGATCATTACTCTCCAATCTTTGGGCGGGGCCTATTGGCAAGGTAGATTTATTCTCGGAGAAAACTTTCGCCTCTAGTAATGCAAGACGTGACTTCAAATTCAAATTTTCTTTAGTTAATTTACCTAAGTCCTGTGAATAATTTCGATCTGTTCTGAAAATTTAGCTGTAATAGCTACAACCTTCGATTCAATTTTTTCTATAAACAAAGTGAACTGTTCCTCTATAGTAGCCGAGTTACTATCCACTTGTATACGACGTGGGGTGGAGCAATCATTAACTTGTGCAGAAGGCATACTGTTATTGTTCTGCGACATCACGTTTTGAAACGATTGCTCAATGAAATCTTGCAGCTCATCAAGTGTTGAGTAATCGCAGGATATTTGGGATATTGGGAGTGACACATTTTTAGTATTGACTTTACCATGGTCACTGGGTATTTTATGCTCATTTTGTCCATCATACAACGATTTGTTTTTATCTAGCGTGTTCTCAGAGGCAGTATTTGAAGTGACTGACTCTGGGCCCGTATAATACGCCGGCGGGTTTTCCTTATTCGTACAAATATTAATAAAAAGTTCATTTAAACAGTCACCTGTTTTCCCTTGGAATGATAGAAAACCTCTCTCGTAATTCCAGCTGAGGATCAAATCAGAATTAGAGCTTGTAAATCGCCTATATTTGCCTCCGGGTGACGACCATATGCCTGTCTGAGCAATGGCACATTTGGTGAATATTTTCATCATTTCAAGGTTATCCGTCCATCTAATACGCTTTCTATCAAAGACGAAGCATTCATTGTCTTTATAGCGGAAAATTTCATCAAGATCCCATTCATTTAAGTTGTTTTTAAGGAAACCAACAGAGCTTGTTTGAACACAACCGGCCGCCATTTTCGTGTTATAGTGTTGTGTATTGTAAAATGGGGAAACTAACAAATAAATAAAAATAAATAAATGAAAGCTTTGAGTCCAACAACAACAACATCACTGTCTACAATCTTGACCAATATGCGTGGGCAGCGGGCATTTTTTATGAATTTTAAGAAATGAGGGCCTTCTCCCCACACAGTCACGGGTACGTAAAAATATCCTGTGCTCAGAGGCAGCGCGAACGCTATTTGAATGGGAGGTGTGCGTAAGTGAAATATTGACTACTAATTTCAAACGATAATTAGCGCTTCTTTCCCCAAAAATGTTGGCG